GTGTGTGTGTGTGTGTGTGTGTGTGTGTGTGTGTGTGTGTGTGTGTGAATATTATGCAGCCACGAAAAGGATGAGATCTGCCATTTGAGACCATATGGATAGACTTAGAGAGTATTATCTAAGTGAAATAAATAAGACTCGGAAAGACAAATACCATGATTCTACTCATAAGTGGAATCTCAAAAAAGTGAATAAACAACAAAAAAAAAAAACAAAAAAAAATACAGATTCAGACCTATAAATACAGAAGACAAACTGATGGTTGCCAGAGGGGAGAAGGATGGGGGTGTGAGCCAAATCAATGAAGGGAAGTGGGAGATAAGGTCTTCCAGTTATGGGATGAATAAGTCACAGGAATATAAGGCACAATACATTCAGTGATCTTGTGATAGCAATGTATGGGGACAGACGGTTGGTACACTTGTAGCAAACATAGCTTAATGTATAAACCTGTCAAATCTGTAAGTTGTACAGTTGAAACTAATGTTACATTGGACATCAACTGTACTCAAATTTTTAAAAAAAGAAAAACATAAATAAGATCATGTCATTTCCCTATAAACCCTTCAACAAGAGTTTCTTATCACACTTAAAATAAAGCCTCATTGTGGCCTGCAAGTCCTCCATGAGACAGCTTCAGTCTCTCCCAACCTCTTGCTCTCACTCGCTCCTCCTCACAAGTGATCCTTTGGTACTCCTTGAACAAATCAAGCAAGCTCTGGCCTCAGGGCCTTTGCACTTACTCCTCCCTCTTCTCAGAAACTCTTCCCAGATGTTCACAGGATTTGCTCCATGACTCCATTCTGGTCTCCGCTCAAGTATCAACTCCTAAGAAAGATCTTCCCTGACCACCTTTAAAATAAAAATCTCGGGGCGCCTGGGTGGCGCAGTTGGTTAAGCATCCGACTTCAGCCAGGTCATGATCTCGCGGTCCGTGAGTTCGAGCCCCGCATCAGGCTCTGGGCTGATGGCTCGGAGCCTGGAGCCTGTTTCCGATTCTGTGTCTCCCTCTCTCTCTGCCCCTCCCCCGTTCATGCTCTGTCTCTCTCTGTCCCAAAAATAAATAAAAACGTTGAAAAAAAATTTTAAAATAAAAATCTCAACCCTTGTATCCATCTATCCCAAATCCATATTTTGTTTTTTATTCGTAGTACCTACCATTTGCCTGATGGTATATACTCACCCATTAATTTTTAATTATCTTTCATTCCACATAGGAATTCAAGCTCCCCAAGGGCCAAGGCTTTGTCTGATGCTCTACTGTTTCCCTGACACTTACAACAGAGCCTGGCAGTGCTGTGGCCAGTTATTATTGATTACTGTTAACTTTCTTTAACATTTTTCTTCATTTGTTTTCATGTGCAGTATGCTGCAGAATAATCACCTAAGACAGGTACCGGCGGGAGCACTGCAGAATTTGCGAAGCCTTCAGTCCCTGTAAGTACAGTTAAAATTGCAAAATGTTCTCAGGACCAATATGGGAAGGAGCAATGAAATGTCCAAATAACCATTTTCATCAACTCCTTGGTTGGGGACCCTAGCTAAATAAGTTGTGAGTGAATGAGACTTTTCATTATGGCAACAACCCTTTGAATCTTCATTAAACAATACGGGGGG